AATGGGGGGGGGGATCCATGAGGGAGAGGTAATACAGTGTGTAAAAAAAAAAAAAAAAGCATTCAATAAACATGTCGCCATGGCAACCTAGATGTAATTTGCTTGGTGAGGAAGAAGGGGAGCGATGGAAATTGAGGGAGAGTGATGGAGAAAAGGGAATAGAAAAGCATTTACCATCGCTGCTTGAGTCAAGAGGTGTAATTATGGGTTAGAGAGAGACAGGGACAGACTGACGGAGGGAACACAATGCTTTTTTTTTTTTTTTTTTTTAAACATACAAAAGGAGTAATTGTGATGACCATCTCATCAAAGTGGCACAAAGGCAAATGAGTGGAAAGAATAAAAAGGCAGGCCGAGAAAAGTAACAAAAAAAAAAAAAAAAAAAAAAAAGAGAGTCCACCCAGGACACACCAGATGAAGGACTATCAAGAGAAATTTAGTGGGAGTGGAAGAAAAGTCAAATGAAGGGATGAAGCCATTCATTGGGGCGCAGAGGAGTGATTGTGTGATTTAAACATGCATATGGCCCATCAGGAAAGGGAGAGGCCAAAAATAGCTGGATTATTGGGGGGGGGTGGAGCATGTGTGCGACAGGCTCAAAGATATACTGTAGTGTGTGTGTGTGTGTGTGTGTGTGTGTGTGTGTGTGTGTGTGTGTGTGTGAGCGAATGTAGTTGATTAGTGCCCCTTGCAATTGACTTGGTGTCAGCCTGTATAAGTGGAGATAAGAGCATGAAGAGGCTACTGACACTGCTGTACAAGAGCAATGGGTTGGAGGCAATGGAGGGAAGTAGGGTCATAAAGACAGGGTGGGGGGGATGAAACAAGAAAAATGGTCCACTTCATCTTGTGAACATTCCTCCGAGTGCAAGCAGAGGACGGGAAGTCCAAAAATGTCTACAGATGGACGGCAGACTTGAGTAATCAAGAGTCAAACTTCGCCAGATGACTGAAAGGTAATAGAGTGTTCGCGCTGAGGAAAATCTGATCAACGCGAGATCAACTGGGAAATATGATGCTGAAACGTGTCAGGGCAATCATTTCAAAAACCTGATTGATGTCAGCCATTTTGAGTTAGACATCATTCAAAGCCGACATGTTCTTCCTGGGACTATTGGAAAACGTCATAGTGACACATTAAGCGTGCTTGTTTTAATGTGGTCGCAACTGGACAAAATGCTGTCAATGTAGCAGTCGAACATTGGACATGAGTGACCTTCAGCTATTTTTTTTTTTTTTTTTTTAGTCAGTCCAAAAATCACTCGCGTTCTTGCTTTGGCATTATGAGAATTGTTTTAATGTCGCTGGTTGAAAACTAACTGGTAGCACATTGAGGGGAGGGAATTGTACCAGACTGAAATCAAGAGCATTCTTACTTTATTTTTTTTTCTTTTTAATGGCACAATGTTTGAAGAACAGGATCAAAATGCAAACCTTTGTGAATTTCACAAAAATTGGTGGCAATATCTGTGTCACCTTTTAGTGGACACCACTCCAAATTAGTGCAGAAATACAGCAATCTGAGCTTTGCACTCACCTCGCCAGTGGCGGTTTCTGGTATGTGCGAAATACGCCTTAAAAAGAAAAACAAAAAAAGGTACTCGAATGGTTTTTCAATTGGCATCAGAAATTGTAAGTCACTGGCCCTTATGACTGAATTTTGCACCCCTTTGCGGAGACATGATGGGTTTTCAAGATTTGTGCTAATAGATGTTGAAAGTGCTGGGTTATCAATGTCGAGGAAGCAGGACATCTTATTGTTATTGCTATCCTGGGGGAGGAACTAACGTTCGGAAATGACTGCCGCAAATGTATGATGGTGACAAATGGCAAAAGCAATAGTTGGGGTCACTCCAAAACTAGCTGAAGAAAGAGTCACTGAGCATCAGCAGCAGATATGCAGTCGCAACAACGCGTGCCAATTTTGTCAAATGGGGAGGGTGTCACCACATAGAACATGCCAAAGCCACAGTACAACAAAACGGCAGCTCAAAGGAGTAACAACCGAGAGGCAAGTAAAGCACACATACGATGACTATTACGATGAGAAAACACCTCGTCTAAATTTTCCGACTGACATGTAATTACCACAACTATATACAAATGTGCTGCAAAGCGTGCAAGTCACCATTCAAACCGGGGACTCAACGGCAGAGCGCAGGGGGAGGTGCCTGTGTGGATATTTTAGTGTCAGATTCTTTTTCCAAATTTGTAGACTTCTAGAACAAATATTGTGAAATGTAAAAAAAAAAAAAAAATGGTTTGAAAATCCATAAGTGTTGACAACAAAATTTGCACCCCATCTACCACGAGCACTTTACACCACACAAATCAAACTGGTACTGTCTTCCATAAGAAGACAAATTTATTTCGTGAAGAACCACAACCTGTCGAGTTTTAAAAATGCATGCTGCAAAGTTGAAATGGCACAAGGCCACAAAGAACACCATGAACACTTTTGTAACACCAGAACGAAAACATGGCACAGCAGCAGCCTTGAAAAAAAATGAATCATAAAAGTTTCCATCCTAATGAGTCACTCAGACAGAACACGCATGCTGAATGGTCCCTCGCCAGGAAGTGATGGAAACCATATTTGACCATTGAGAAGATCAATGAAAGCCAAAATCAGGACAAATGACGGATGGACGGCATGGAGGATGAAAATAATTATTTTGGAAGCGGTACAGAGAAATGACAAGTCTAAAGTAAAGTGGAAAGTAAATAGTGTATTAAGGAGAGACAAGTAGATGCTGCACATTTGGGGTTGAGCTGCGGCCAGAATGGGAAAATCAGCATGCGGGGGGAAATTTAAAACATTTTTTTAAAAATCAGCTTTGCAATCAAGTCGCTCTTAATTTAGTTCAAGCACTCCCATGAAGTAAATAACACCACTTTTTCCAAAACGGGTTGACTCAGAATCAAAATAACCATCATTTTCATCTGTACCAGGAAACAATTACGAGGACCCAAAGTTGGAGATGTCCTTCAGTTTGCCCCCCCCCCCCACCCTGCCCTTTTGGCCTCACCCTCTGCACGCCCCTGGATGGTTCACTTGGGTCACGTTCAGCTCCATCGCTCTGGTGCGCAATGGGCCTCAAACTTGAAAACCTCTTCAAGTTTAGTACCGGTAGTCCATGGCCCAAAGTCTACTGGGATAGGCTCCAATCATGCGTAACCTTGGATAGCGGGAGAAAATGAATCGATGGAAGCTTTTCAATTTTGAGCCCACTTTTCAGTCTCTTACAACTAGGAGTATGCATTTTTATAAGTCACCTTCCAAAATTAGTTAAGGGGCTCTGGAACACAACATAAAAACAGGCTTTTGCTCAAAAGGTATTAATATTTTATACTTTTTTTTTGACAGATAATAAACTTAAAGTTCCGTGTGTGTATTCTGCAATTAACAATAATGCAATGCAGTGCGTGCAATTAGGACCTCCTGGCATCCTCCACAACGTTGTGGTTCAACGGATCAGTCACGGCCGAAAAAGAGCCCTCGTGGAGCCTTTTCTTCCACTGTGGACCTCACTGTATTTGCTGAGGGAGCGCTTGCTCGCCGGCGGGGACAAATTAGCCACATCGGAGCACTGAGGCATCATGGGAAATTAATGATCTCCAGGAAGTGAGCTAATGAGTCCACGGGCACACACGAATGAGATGAGATAAAGCAACAGGAGGAGAACGAGAAGGAGGGGGTGGCTAATAAAATGCTATCCATCGATGAGCGATAGAGGTGCTATAACACACACACACACACACACGCACACGCACACACACACACACACACACACACACACACACACACACACACACAGAGTGGGAGAATTCAATAATTAGAGAGAGGATCACCGGTGGCTTTCACGTACCGAGGTGCAGTGATTACTGTCCTTACACCGTCCCCTGAGGGTGTGTGACAAGCAAGGAATTAACACTTATCTCACATAAACACACGCACAACAAATGAGGCGAGTGCAGATAACGGGAGGTTGGGGGGGGGGGCATTGGTGTGGGTCAATTGTGTTTGACCAGCTTGTGTGGTGGGTACCTGAGCGCACCATTTGCTAATCGAGGTGTATTTAGTTAGAGGGAGCAAGGGTGGGGAGACATTTTCCTGTTAGTGGCCACTTCACTTTTTGTGAAGTCCTCAAGAGAGCCAAGCTGAATTTATTGGATTTTTTTTTTTTTTAAATAACTTTTCCTCTGATGATTTATTTGTGTTTAGAACTGCATATGGAGGGCCGACTCAACTGCTGGATTGGGCGGTAAATGGCCCATGGGCAGTAAGTTCCACACCCCTAAGTGAAAGAGCAGGTGTTTTTTTTTCTTTCAAGGAGCTGTTTTGGTTCAAAAATGTGTTTTTTATGACTAACTCACCCAGCACGGCAACAAACCAGGTGTTACCATTACCAAGGAAGGCAAATGTAAGACTTTTTGTAGACATTAGTGGTGTGGATAACTGCAATCTATCCAAGTCAATACTTGTCCAGTATCGCCAATATTGATACGGATACATTGAATGCAGTAAGTAAATTGGCTGGATTACGAAATAACTAAATCTTTAGAGCAGGGGTGTCAAACTCATTTTTGTCGCGGGCCACATTATAATTATCGATTCCCTTGGAGGGCTGTGATGACTGAAATTATATAAAGAAGTCAAGAATAACGTTTTATTCAACGATCGTTTTAAGTAACTTATGAGAGGTTTGGTAACAAGAAAATGCTGACAATATGTCACCGATTCATTTCATGTGAAAATTTGAAATTTTGGTGGAGATTTTAGCAAGCATCATGGAAGTTGTCGTCTTTGATTTGCTTTCGCGGGCCACTTAAAATGACATGGCGGGCCTTGTGTTTGACACCTGTTGTATAGAGCAAGCATATTGTGTCAAGGCCTAGGTATGATTTTTGGCTAAGGCCACAAATGGCCAGTGGCACTCTGAAAAATATGAACTTATGCTAAGGATGACTGAAATATTATTTTCCCAACTATTATTCACCTTAATGTTGTCTGCCAAAGTGAAAGGCCTCTTCCAGGAAACTCTGCCTGTGGCAAGGATGTCTTCGTGATTTCTCTCTTCCTCTCTCCATTTCTGCAGCTCATTGTTTTCCGACAGGTCATTTCCTACATATTTGAATACATTTGTTTTGAATAAAATTGCAGCATTGAATACAGGAGCAAAACAGAATTCATGCAACCATCACAATCAGTAATACTAACGCTAAAATAATGATTTATTCTAATTGAAATAATTTAGGCATCACTATACAATTTTAGAATACAGTCAAAAATAGATTTGTAAATAATTTTTACTATTTTACTATTATTTACAACTAAAACCAAACAACTCAATGAGATAAATGATTACAAATACACATTTTCAAACGAAATAAATCATTTTTAAATCAACCACTTCCAAATTAATGCAACAAATATTACGGGACTTGTCCCGGTAGGCACACCTGAAACTAATCTGCACCACACAAGAAGAAGATGTTTATTACCACTTCTGTGGCCTTTTGAAGACGTATTTAAGGGTTACGTGTCATTTTGAGCTGTGGTACATACCCTGAATGAGAAGTTTAGAGCTTAAACCGTGTGATTTATTTACCTGACAGTACTTGTCGCCATTGGTAGGGACGAGAGGAGAATGGCGACAACCTCTGCTGTCTGTCTACACCAGACGGCGCACGTCACTAGCAAGTGTCTCTCTTGCCTGACCACACCCTTGTGTCCTGATTGGCCCAAAGTTTTCCCAACCCCGCCTCTTCTAACCTTAGAAAATTTTCCCCCCCCCCGCCTCTTCTAACCTTAGCGGCTCCACCCTCCCCCCCCCTCCCCAGCGCAACCACTTCTGAGCCAAAACCTCCTTCTTCTGTCACATCCCCACAATCTTCACCTTTTTAACTTTTTGCTATTTAAGGAAGCGAGCTGGTGCGAAAATGACGATTTTGGATAAACTAGCAACGACTCCTCATTTTAGAGGCACGAAACTTCCGAGCATTCAGTGACTCCCTCAAGTCACCTTTCGCAGAATGCCGCACGTTCACTATTAACTGGTCAAGTTGTTCGGTCTCCTCACCTGTTTTGCGGGTGTGTGGGTTTTTTTTTTTTTTTTACACTTCTCAAGTGCTGCGTGCGTGGCCCCGGCGAGGCGTGCGCGTGATGGGCTCCCTCATTTGGACCTCGGCCACTCTCCCTGCTTGGAAAAGCACTTTTTTACTTTTAAACATCATCTCAGCCGTCGTGAGCAAAAGACACGCAGTGTACTGGAACTCCACCAACACCAGGTAACTCAATTCCTGCTTATTTTTATGCATAGGCTTTTATTCATATTGCAGGATGTTGCCTGTAAGGTGCAACTATCTGTCATCAGCTTCGTACAAGCCTGGCTGGTCTGAGCTTGCATTGTTGCTCAACAACCTATGGAATAGCTAAATAAATGAGTCAGTTGAAGGAATCTCTGCCATGCAGCACACCTCTTACTCCCCTCCTACCTGTGCAATGTTCATTTTTAACCTGACAACAATAATGGAGTCTTCCAGTATTTATTTATGTATGTATGTTTTCTATTTTTTTCCTCAACTGTGTGCACAAAAGGAAAGTGGAGCTTGTGACTGTGCATGTGTGAGGGGTGGTGGACCATTAGCAATGTCAAACTTGGCTCACCTGCTGATCCAGGTGCACCTCGCAAAGATAATTGAAGGGTGCATGTGGGGGAGGGGACGGCACATTGGGCAACCGGTTAACATGCTGGCCTCACAGTGCAGAGGTGCAGAGTTCGATTCCGGCTCCGGCTTTCCTGTGTGGAGTTTGCATGCCGTCCCCGTGCCTGTATGGGTTTTCTCCGGGTACTCTGGTTTCCTCGCAGATTCCAAAAGCATGCATGACAGATTAATAGAGCACTCTAAATTGTCCCTAGGTGTGTGTGAGAGCGCGGATGGTTGTTCGTCTATGCGTGCCCTGCGATTGGCTGGCAACCAGTTCAGGGTGTACTCCGCCTACTGCCCGAAGACAGCTGGGATAGGCTGCAGCACACCCGCGACCCTCGAAAGGATAAGCGGATTAGAAAATGGATGGGTGGATGGATGCAAGTGGGGGACCTGCAGGTGGAAGTAGGGCTGTTGTTCTGAAATAACACTGAGCCTTCATTGCATATGTAGAGCAGGTCAATTTGGCAGTCACGGTTGAGATTAGTGGTGTGCGCGTACAAGTGGGGACACATTTGCTCAGGGGAACGTCTGATTTGTTTACATTTGTGTCATAAAACGTCATGGAAAGAGAAATACAACCGTTGTCAACAGAATTACATTTACTAGCTATACAGTTGATCATTATTATCATAACTTTGTGATTAGTATGCAAGTATACCCCTCCCCACCCCACCCCACAAAAAATCTAAAGCGCTTATCTTAACTGGGGTTAGAGGCAGCCTACCTGTGCTGATCACCAGTCAATCCGTGGATTAAAAAAAAAAAATCTAAACACTCCAGTTCAAATGACAGGTTCTTGTAATGTAAAATGAGAACAAGATCAATCATTTCAAACACATTTTCCGACATGTTTGAGAGAGATTGTGATGGTGAATTTAACTGTGTGGCCATCGTTCCTCAAGTTGTTTGTGGCGCACGCCTTATCACCAAAAGAACACCATACCTAAAGTGAAGCATAATGGTGGCAGCACAATGCTTTGGGGCATTTTTGTTTCTTCAGTTGGAACTGGGGGGGAATTATTTGAAGAGTTTCAAATACATGTCAGCGTTGGCACGAAACTGTCCGATTTCTGCGAGAATGCAAAGAAAAATCAGGAAAAGCCTACTAGAACATCTGAACTGCATTGGAGACACCTTAAATGTTGGCATGTGCGTGCTGATTTCAGTTTAGCATGAATTTGAATGCGGTTGGTTCATTATGGGTGTGCACACTTGTGCAGCATCAGCTGCTTATTTTTACTTCTCTTGGAAAGATTAACATTTTAATTTCGATGACGTTGAAAAGGTTATGGGTCAAGTTAAGGGTGGAAAAAAGTTAGGTTTAATTTTTTTTATTTTTTATTGCAAAAGCATAAGTCGGTCACGTGTGTTGCTTTCCTACGTCGCAATTAAATCCAATTCATGTTTATCGGCTATCGCTGGCATTAAAAAAAAAAAAAAAAATCCCTCCGAAAAAGTCAAGACAGGCGTCTGCTATGTTTTGGTTGAAGGTGTACAAACCTTTCGGGCATTTAAATTGCTTCCAATGTGGTGGGGTTTCGTGTAATTGGCAGCAATGTGGCACAGCGAGGCTTGAGGACCTCTTTGGACCCATGTGATTCTGACATGAATGGTCAGAGGTTTTTTGGCAGGCACAAAATCACAGTGCCATCATGCAGAAGGCCAACAACCCTCCCGTGGTGCTGGTGGCTCATTCCCAGTGACCCTGCTCTCTCCTCGCTCCCCGAGTTAAAAGCAGGGTTCACCAGCTCTCTTTTTTTTTCCCCTCTCTTCACTCTTCATTACCGTCCTATTTACACCCCACCCCAACCCTCTTCACCCACCTCCTATATGCCATTTTCATCCTTCACAGCTCCCTCCTGCCCACTGATGGATGTATGAGCTGTGATTAGTTGAGCTTCAATCATTTTCCCCACCCCCCATATCCTATTTTCAAAAAACTTCCAACCAAGCTGAGGAAGAGTCCGGGTCCGCTTCATCATGAGTGTCAGGGAACCATTGAGGGAACATAAGGCCGCGAACCAACCCTACATGTATTGTCTGCTATTGAATGTACACTCAAATTGTATTTTAAAGAGGAAGTCAAGTCAAAAAACATCTTTAAAATATGTCCTATGCGTTAATCACAAAAAAAAAAAAATTCCAAGGTCTTCACATGCCCAAAGTTGACAAATATCGGCAAATATCGCCGCACGAGGGCAATGGAGACCAAAAACAGACTTTAATTTCTGTTTGACATGACCAAAAATGTTTTGTTAATTGTAAATGGCTTTCAATGTTTGATTAAAAATTCACTGCCGTCATGCCGCGTTTCTTTCGACAACAAACCAGTGGAAAATGTATCAAGTGCGCCTCTGATGGTTGCAGCCAAGTACTGCACCCCACTCTGTTAGTTCATTCTACAATCAATTAATTCCGCATCATCAACCAAATTCTTAACGATTAGCTAAGCAATTTTTCCATGCCCTTTGTTACTATACACATGATTTTTAAAAGTCATTGCCTGCAATTTAGTCAGCTCTGACCTTCCCATGCTTACACTCAGTTTTTTTTTTTTGTGTTTAATTAATTATTTGGAATACATTAATAAAATGTTATTTCAGTTGTAAAGATGCATTGCGGAGGGAGTTGATGCAAAGTAATTAGTTCACCGCGGAGTGCATTTTAGTGGGGAATATGCATTCTATAAAGTATAATAGCTATGCCCGCAGGCAACAATTAAAAAGAGAGAGGCAAAAAAAAAAAAAAGATGCTTTACACACTTAATATTGAAGGCAGGCACAGGAGCCACTGCAGTCTCTTTAAACACGTGATGGAAAACTTTGGCCGTCACTGTCCGGATTTATGGTTTTAATGAAGCACAAGCAGCCAAGCGGGGAGATGCTTTAAAGTGACGCATGTTTGAGCCCGCCCCCACCACCCCCCTTGATTGAAATATTGGAGCTGGGAAACAGTGAGACTCAGCGTAGGCCTCCTTTTTTTTTTTTTACGATTTAATGAACGAGGTTTACGAGCGTCGATTTTATAGCCGCTTTTTCTCTCACGCTGATTGTTCCTTTATTAGAAGAGAGATTATTTTCCGACTTCCTGGAGCAGTTAAAGGTTAGTATAATATTATAAGCCCAGTGTTATGGAAGTGGTCCATAGCGGTTTGTATTTTTTGGTTCAAGCAAGGTGATGAACAAATTCGTCTCCCCAACCCCCGACTAACCCTGGTGTCACCTGAACTGCTACTTGTCTTCAAATCCCCCTCCTGCCCAGGTCCTGCTCGTAAAGCTTCGGATCAGCAGCTTCCTAATTGGAGACAAAAGCGTTCTTCCGAGGGGGAATACGTGCCAAAGCCTTGCACCTCATTTTCCTCCTCCCTCGTCTCCTGCCTTGACAGCAAACTTGGGCCCGCAGTCGAGGAGGCTGCTCCCATTTCTTTATTGAAAAGCACACCTCATTAGCCTTCCAGTGTCTAATTAAATGCGTAAACGCATGCATCATTTCCCTTCCTGTGTGAGTGAGCCGCTTTAAATACCAAACTAAATCACATCCTGTACGCACGTGCAAAGAAGGGCTGTGCCGCTGTCGCATATTATCGGAGGGGGGGATGGTTGACCTTTCATCGAGATTTATATACATGAAGTACACCTGCTCAGTCTAATGTGATCTAATGATGATTGATGGACACTGTCAGATGGATTCATTTCACAATATGATCATTTCGGCTCAGTTGCTTTGAAGTATTTTAGAATTCAAATCAAAAGGGGAGAATATAGTGCCCTGTAATGCTGGAAGCAATATAAAATTACTTTAAGTTGTAAGTGTTAATGCCCATCAAACGTGCATCACACGGAGCAGTTTGAAATGTTTTGGCTGCTTTAAATAAACACACACGCACACAGCCTTGTTCAAATGCCAGGTTTTTGTCAATTGAAAAAAAATATTTCGAAATTTATTTCCCAACCTCCAGCATTAATGCAGTCGATAACCTGTGCAACTCAACAAGGAACACAAATGAAATCTTTTGAAGAGGGCCTCAGAAAATGAAACCTGAAAACAAGTCTGCTGGAATTGACTCATTACGTTCAAGTTAATGATAAAAGCACCATTTGAAGTGCCTCTGATGAACTGTTTAAAAAACAACAACAACAACAACAAAAAACATTGTAGTATGCTTTTCCGATCCATTTCTTTGCATCCAAGCAAAAGCCAGTTGCCTTTGTGCCAACACTGACTGCTCTTTGGGGCTGTTCATTTTTTCCCCTCTACCATGACAAGGCCCTCAGTTTTCATCTTAGGGTTTTTTTTTTCCCAATCAAGTGTCTTTGTTATGGCCATATAAAGGGTGGTAAAAGTTTTAGAATGATTTATCTTGTTTTTTTTTTGTTTTTGTTTTTTTTTAACATCACAAAAACCAGACATTTGAACAGGGTTGTGTCGACTTTTTGTATTCACTTTACATTTTTCTTTACTCAAGGGTCTGCCTGCGAGCTCATCCTCCAGTTGCGCGCGTGTGTGTGTGTGTGTGTGTGTGTGTGTGTGTGTGTGTGTGTGTGTGTGTGCGCACGCGCGTGCATACATGCAAATGAGTCTTTTTCGACGATTGCATCACAGGCTGTGTGAGTGTAAATGTCTGTATTCCCCTGATAAATGATTAATACAGAACCTGGATGAACTATCATCGAGATACCTACGGTGAGGTAATTACTACTTTACTCCCAGTCTTCCTTAGCACAGTCCCTCCACACACATGCACACTCACAGTCTCTCTCTCTCTCTCTCTCTCTCTCTCTCTCTCACACACACAGACACAGAGTTGCATCCATGCTTTATTGTGGCCGTCCCTGAAATACATTTCAGCCAGCCCGATGGTGCATCTTATCTGCCTTTGCTAAATGTGCCTGGTGTGTTTTGTGGTCGCTGCACTCAATGCGTTATCTGTGCTGGCACACCGTGGGTGGTTGAGCTTTGGGGAAAACAAAGACGAGATCTGATTGTAGTGGTTTGTGTTGCATTGTCTTGGTCTGCAAATTGAGGCCACCTCTGCATGTGGCCCGCCGGACGAGAGATGGGAGTGTGATTACAGTTTGGAATGAAGGGAGGCTGTTGTTGTTTGGCTTGCCGTATTTTGTTGCAATTACATTTTATCTTATATATTGTAGACCGTCCAATTATTGTTTTCGTAGTGACAGAAAAGCCGGCTAGTGACTCCTATCAGAATGTCCAATCAGGACATGAACAGAAATGCAAGTCCTTGATTAAAGAATATATGCTGAGTTTATTAAATCCCTCGTCCTGGAAAAAGAGGATGTCTGGTCACCCCACGGAAGAGGTTGGTCTTAATCTTTGGCCTTGGCAGAGGTTCTGCTCTCGACTGAGCGCCATACTGGTAGTCTTCAGGTCACAGGGTGTGATAGTGATACTGGATTTGAGTGTGTGTGAAAACAAACAAACCTTCCCTTTGTGCCATTGTTGCGTGGCTAAATCAAGATCAACAAACGGCTGTGCCAGCATCTCACCTATCTAGGTCATTGTCTTGTTTCAGCTCGTTAAGGTGTGACTAAAGAATTAAGAGAAGGGAGAGTCTTGGCAAGGTTTTGATCCTCTTGGATTGCAGATTGCGCAATGACATCTCCTCCTGCCAATTTCTTGTGCTTCCCCCCGCCCCACACACACCCTTCTGCCTTCTACTCAAGCAAATTATTACATTTGGCCGGAATGCAGCGTTAGGATTCCTATTTCATTGAACAAATAATTGCTGCAATTGAAGCAGAAAAACAAGACTTGTTACGGGGGTATAATCGGAAAGGTTGTGTGTGTCAAAAGAGATGATAGTTACTGTCAAGCTTGCCGAAACGAAAATCAAAAGCCCATTACGAGTTAAACTGGGCATACATGGACATGTAAAAGTACCAAGTACCAAGATGTTTTTTTATCCTTTACATCAAACTGAAGTACTGGTAAATCACCTCTTAATTCAAAGCTAATGAATCACTCTAGTCAGATTGTGCTTTCTGTGTTGATAGTTAACCTTGTAGGCCACTCTTCGTGGCTGACCTACGGCAGAGCATAACATAATTTATTTCTAGTTCGGGTTGTGTTTACTGAGTAGATTTTTCTCTCCAGAGTCCGGACGCTTCCTATTTTGCTGTTCATTCTCCTCTTTAACGCGGTTCCAGCCAAACATCTGCGAAAAGTGGACTCAATTATTCAAGCACTTTTAATTTTGGCGTTAAATATGCTCACTGTGTAATTCTTAGGTTAGCTTAGCAATTAGCATGGGCCCTCCCTTTCTCAGAATAATTCTCATCAGGATTGTAGCTTATTCGCCACCACCGAAGTGCTAATTACTGACTTCAGAGCAACGTGTTCAGCTGCAGCAGTAGCCATCTGAAATTCGTTGCTAGCTAGCTGGTGGAGCGCAGGTAGTGCTAACTTGTGCCTCAACCTCCGGCTACCTACGGTGCGTGACATGAGCGACGCAGCCCAGTGGAGCTTTTTGGCAATTGACTGTTACAGGGGTATAATAGATATTGAATCATTCACTTGACAAACAGCAGTGCGAATATTTTGAGCCTTGAAATGCACTTTTGGCTCAAACCGGTAGAGTCACCATTTATTGGGTCTCTACTAGTGCAGTATGACGACAGCAATAGGAAGTTAAGCTACATCCATGCTATGAAAGATCAGCTTGAGACACGCTCTGTAAATCCAGCTCGAGTTGGCACCTCGTGTGGCTCTTTGGTCTAAAATGGCCGCGGCACTGTTTGTGTGCGACGGGGCGGGCGTAAGAGGAGGTTGTGATTGAGTTCCGTTTGTGAGCATTCATTCATTGCACACACAATGAGGCGCCATTGTTAGATGGGTGACACCGGCCGCGTATTCCTTTCCGGCTAACACGAGCACAATTAGGATTTGGCGCGCGAATACGGAAACCCAATCAAGTGCAGCTTTGATGTAACATGGCACTATGTTTTGAGCCATGGTGTGTGTGTGTTTGTGCGTATGTGTGCTTCCCCCCCCTAAGAATTTTCACTCCGTCACGCTTGCGCCTCGTTGGCTGGGCTCAGAGGTCCTGTCGAAAAGCGACCCAAGACTTTTCCGAGACAGAAATTAAATTAGTATCGACCCAGGCACAGCGCAAAAGTGTCGCAGGGACCAGAATGATTTTACCACACTGAGACTTGTTTGCCATCATGCTTGTGTCAGAGTGCTCGGATGGAGAAAAAAATATATTGCATACTGTCAAGCATGTTGGTGTTTTTGCAGTTACACTTTGGACCAAACATCACATTACACAATCGAACATGGTTTTCTCCCATATGGAAGTAAAATCTTAAGTACAAAATGCAACAATGAGTTTACTTGGAAGTCACATTTTCCTGTCACGGCTTCTGTTACCTTAAATGGTCATAAATTCTTAGTTTGTGGATATTTGCATTTTTGCATACACCGACCATTTCTTCAGGTATACTTGCACAATCTAATGCAAGCTAATGCAAGATTTTTTTTTCCGAAATGAAGACAAACAAAATAGCTTTCATGATATAAAATCTGTTTTTGCTTTGTTTTTGGTGATGGTGTCTTTTTTTATTTATTTTATTTTTTTGAAAGGGCATGCGTCTTCGGAATATATGCAAGTATTGCATGTTTGACACACAGCAAACTTTTCCAGGTGCACTCAATAATACTTCCATTTATAAGTCATGAACACTATTATCTCCAGATCAATCACATGACCGATATTACGTAATACAAACCTGGTTCGTGTGAACTTACCAGGAAACAATTTGCAAATGTTCTTATCGAGTCAGAGCAGTGACACTCTGCTCTACACTCCATTCCAATGCAAACTCACACCCGCCCCGCACGTACGAGTACACACAGGTGGGGGCTCTGCCAGCGAGTAAAAAATAAAAAATAAAAACATTCACGCGGTGGAGAAGGATGGCCAATGCGATAAGGACGGTAGGGAAGAAGTCAACAAATTTCATGTGCCCAAACGGGCTCGAGGGGGCCCCTGGGAGCGGCGACGCGGCGATGAGGTGAGAGCCAAAGAGGCAAGAAAGGATGTCAGCCGCCATTATTTTCACTGTCAGCAACGGGCGTAGGGAGTAGACCCCTCTGCCCCACTCCTGCAACACACACACACACACACACACACACACACTGCTCATCTGAAGGTGTGGCACTAAGATGCGCTTAGCCAATGGCGCCATTGTCCTGGCTAAACGCACGCACTCTGACAATAGAGGGAAGTCAAGGTGCATGTGACACTACCTGGTGTTTGTATACCAATATTTTTCGATGAAAGTATAATTGATAGTTGGTCGAGCGGCCTTCTACACGATCAAAGCGTTGAATCAGGTGTGTTGGAACAGGGTAACGTACAATATAAAACAAGCTTGATCGGAGCTCATATAGCCCAATGCGTAATGATGTTCTGGTTGCAGTCGTGTCGTGCGTTCTATTTTGCCACATTTGCTGGGAAAAACAAATCGACAAAACTATTAAAAAAAGAAAAAAAAAAAAACAATCTGGCTGTCCATTATTCTGCATACCTAAACCAGGGCTCACCAACGTGTTGCACGCGGGCACCACGTAGACCCCAAGGGCCACATGGGCTGCTCCAAAAATAGCTCATCGAGAGGGGACATTGTGATTTCCCAGGAATGTCGTCAAAGTAATCATTTGAAAATGTCAACGCTTTCTGAGAGTTCGAGGAATGAAGTTTTGCATATCTATTTTTATCTCTTGCCTAATTATTGTGAGGAAAGCCTGATCGGTTTTCACTTGAATGAATAGCAATTCTTAATCAAATACCATATTTTCTGCACTAAAAGGCGCACCTAAAAGCCTTCCATTTTCTTAAAAGCTCACAGCGCGCCTTAAAATCCGATGCGCCTTGTTTATGGTCATTACGGTAATATTGCGACCCCTAAATGGCTGCTTGCGAGAGACATGCTTACATCGCAGAGTTCAAACTTAAGGCGATCGGTTACGCAGTTGAACACGAGTTAACGTTAATGAGTCAATGTTATAACTTGCTGTTGGTTAAGTGAACTGTGTCGCTGCTTTATTAAATAAGTTTTACTGACATCTGATCGTTCTGTTAGCATTTCCTTGAGCGTAGCTCCATCTAGTGGATGCATTGTAGATTGCGTCTTATACCACGGTGCACCCAATGTATGAAAAAAATTACAAAATGATTGAAGGTACAGTAATATGAGCCCATTTATGTCATCAGTGTGCATCAAAATTGGAAGGCCTTCGCAGTAATCAGTGCTGCCCATTATTAGCTCCCAGTTTCAAAAAGGTTGTGACCCCTGATCTAAACGGTGAATTACTTTACAGATGGGGGGGGGGGGGGTATTGGGGTTAAAAGCGAGCTTTATGAACTGTCTGACAGATTTACACAACTTATTACCGTCAATTATGTACAGAGCCCCTAAGATGACATGGAAGAGAAAAAAAAAAATAAGACTTAGTGTTCCTTCTCAAAAAACTTTGTGTCCCCCTCACGATCGTTGTGTTCCCCCGCAATTAAATTGTTGTGAGGTAATGCAGTGTTTTACCTGCAACCGAAATGAAACACAGTGAACGCAATTATTTTTTTCTTCCGCCGTATCACCTTTGGGTCTCCGTAATTCTCTGTGTATTTATTAAGTTTGCAAAATCGCTATGAAATCACGCTTTTGTGCCCAACATAATTTGAATGTGATCGATCTTTGCGCTTTGTTTTTTCCATGTAAATGTGGAATCCATAGCTTGCGATGGAAACTGCAGCTACCTGTAACAATGATCTGCTTTGACTGTATACTATTGTGCAATCACTCCAATCTTCGAGATAAGTCTAAACTCCAAGCGACATGGGATTTTGAAGTGTAACTCAAATTGTGCTTCATTGTTTTAAAAATGCACTTTTTTTTTCCATGATGGATAATCAAACATGCTGCACAAAAAAAATTGCTGTATAAATACCTCATTCTGAAATTTCCCGCAGTCTAAAAGGAAATAGGAAGAAACTTCTCAGAGTGGATATTTCTGAATAATGTTCGAGTGCATTTCCCATGCATGTCTTTTTACTTCTTTATTGTTTTTCATTTTTCGATAAGGTGCCGTCCAAAGTGAGTACGCGTTTGTTGTCTGAGCAAAGTGCCACCGTTTGTAATAGACAGTGTTTCGAGCGGCGGCGGTATTTTTTAAAAGGGAAAATAGCCTTGTGCCAACTCGGCGGCAAAAGAACTCATGAATCTCATTGCTCCTCTATTCAACTGAAAATGGACTCCTTGTACGCCGCCTGCTTCCAAAACTACAAAAGCATACTGTATACGTGTGTGTGTGTGTGTGTGTGTGTGTGTGTGTGTGTGTGTCATACTAAAAATACATCCAGTGACAAGGAACACAAGACCCACTTCACCTCGTGTTGCATTTAGAGCAAGATCCCTGAACATGATTTTTCATGTCCTTTTTTTCTGTACGATTATTTTTTTTTTTTCTCCTCTCCAGAGTAGATTTCCAGTGGCCAAAAAAAAAAAAATGCATACACACGAATAGTGAACCTTCTGTGTTAATCTTGTAATTTTGGGTCATCATGGTTCATTACTTAAAGAAGCAGCCAGTCATCTTTAATCACATAATCCCGCTTTAGCGCTACGTGGGGCGGGTGTCTGCATGGCTCCCCTTGACCCTCACCGTTTCCTTCCTCAATGCTTTGACGCCCCACCCCCAACCCATGAGCCCCCCCCGCCCCCTCCTGTCCACTATTGTGTCGCAAGCCTCCATCAGTTGTGGAAGTGCATTGGCCTTTTATCGATGCTCAGGGGCAGAGAATAGCATCGAGCTAGAGCAACAAAATGTAGCATTTAACCTCAAAATATGAGCTCCAACATCATTTTTCTGCAGGTACGCTGGCTTGTAATGAGGTGAATGGCATGTCTATTGTTGCCATGGTGACAGTGGATCACCTATTTTTCGAGGTCCCACCTGCCGGGACCCCTTCATTTTGACCAGCTGAGACCATGTTTAGCGGTGAAAATGCAATGTTTTGCCATCATTTCAAAGCCGCTAAGGTCTCGGTTAGCCTTTGCTGGGGTTTTTATCCGGTTGCTGATCATCTGTAAAATACTGGAAATCCATTGTTTTGCTTCCAGGAATGTTGTTGGTTTGATGGATAAATGTACGTATTTATTTCACCAACATTTTAATTCAAGTTTGAGATGAAGACTGTTGTTGTATTTTTAAATGATTATTAATTCTGTTTTGTTTGTTTTCTTTTCTTCTGTTCATGTTTCCTTTTTTTTAATTTATCAAGTCAATATGGTATAAAACATGTTTTAAAAGTCTTTTTAATTATAAATTTGAACAAAATGATTACAACCTAATCACATCCCCATAACACTTTATTGCATTATGGGATGTTACATACTTGATACTGAATACTAACCTTGCCGGCCTTGCCGGCCCAGTGACACACTGTAAAAATGTTGACACAAAAAAAATGTGTGGACAAATCCCATTCGATTTTTTTTTTTTTTTTTTTTTTTTTTTTTTAGAGCTCCGTAGGCTTTTATAAAGCATGAAACTTTAAGATAAGATAAGATAAGATATCTTTTATTTGTCCCACACTGTTTATATTATATATATATATATATATAATATATTTATAATTTAATCATATTTAATTTGAGTCAAGAAGGCACATGGTTTCTCCCAGCTAGTCAGCGCATCAAGGTCATAATCATGACATTTCCTAAAAATGAATTAATGTCGTAAAAGAAAGGGTGTATAATGCCAATTCGGCATTATTCGAAAGAGAAATGGTTGAAATTCCGATCAAAAATGTAAAGAAATTCGGAATTTTTTTTTTAAATGGACATTTTAAAAAATATATATCAATTATTGTAAATATGAAAAAATACATGTAAATGTTTAAAAAAAAACTACAAATAATCAGTCAATTTTTTTTTTTCAATTGTCGTTGCTTTAAATCATCCAACATGTTGCCAACAAACTCTTTGTTCCTGTATCGCATCAACTATACTATCGGTGTGTCATGGGGCCGCGGTGGGCAGCTGTGCGTGACTAGAACAGGACAAAGCTGTGCGCCTCGAGGGGGCCAATCCGAGCGACCTTCCGCACCCGGAATGTGCGGTCCACGATGACGCCTAAGAGTTGTGACGAGAAAGATGGAGACGCAGAAAGAAGCGTGCAACGGCTGCGATGGATGGAGGGCGAAGGGCCGGTTTGGGCTCTTGGGATTCCAGCGCAGTGACCGTGAAAGTGCTTAGATAAACACAGAGACTGAGGAGGAGTGCGGGGGGGGAGTAAAGTGGAAGAGGCAATGGAGAGAAGCGAGAAGGTGAAGGGAACGTCGCTGAAAGGGAAGGACAAAAGTTGCACTGCTGTAATGCAATACAGCATTAATAAATACATTCAGGTTATATTCTAAACATCACAATGCATAACCAGATGCAGACTTGAAGTCATCTGCAATGAAATGACGTCTGCAAGCGTTACTCCTCTATCTGTGACTTTAGTTTCACCACGTTTAAACAGCCTTGCCCCACGGCCAACTTCACCATTTAGTCTATTTCTTTTTGACAATATAGATTTCAGGGCATGTGTAAAAGAACCACGATCCGAACTCTACAACCGAGTTTGATGCAAACGACAAAATAACCACACGCTCTTATTTTTTTTTTCCCCTGATGCAGACGGCTCTCTTGCATAAAAATTACCATTCAAGGACGGCACAAAACTGCTGACCAAGAAACCAACATGAAGTGCAAGAACTAACTCGACTTTTTAATTAATTTATTTTTTGGGGGGAAAAAAATATCAACTCGCTGAAAATTCTGTTGTGTTTGAGGTGACGCCCTGCATATCATTCTCAGTCCGCAAAAGAATATCAGGTCTACTCGCGTCGTAGCGCAGCACCCGGTGCGCTTTGTGAAAGTTGCCTCTTAACTGTTTGTATTTTACTGCACCAAGGTGGACAAACCAGGAGGGGCAGAACAATGTGCATTGAACTGAAGCAAAAAAA